TTGCATCTTGTTTGTTGTTATAATACAATTACAACAGTAATCCTAAAAATAAAAAAGCATAAAAATATCTCTTTTCACACTCGCAGTTATTCGTTGGCAAATTGATCAGTGGGTGGATGTCTGCGTTATGGCTGGTCGAGGTGGGCATTGAGCCTCGTTTTGATTTGTTCAATTGCAATCCAAAGATGCTAAAATAAAGTGTTTCTTGGCTGACTCATGTTGTTATTAGCCAATCTGCAAGAAAGAGGGCAAGTTGTATGCTTGAGAAGTGGGAAATAAAATTGAATCGCATAGAGTAAGAAGCGGTGAGGTAAAGTCGAAAAAATGCAAGGAAAAATAGACATGTTGGAAAACAAAAAGAATTTGTAAACGGTCACATCAAAAATGAATGAAAAACAACATGAACAAATAAATGTAGTAACAACAAAAGAGGAAAGAAAATGAATATGTATAGGGGGAGGAATAAGGAAAGTAAGTAATAAGGGGAATGAAGAGAGAAATGAGGGAGAGAGTTGGACAGAGGTAGGAAGAGATAAAAAGAGAGGAAGAAATGGAGAAAGAAGAAGATAACTACATAACAAAGGTAATTTTCATAGCGTTAAAAAAGAGAAAAGAGCATCTATTTCTAAACGTGCCAAATAATCCGTCTTTTAAGCGCTTATAAGGAACGCTAAAATACAACTAGAAAAGTGACTTTAACAGAAATGACACAATTATAAGTTTTATCGAATAAGAAACATAATTAAGGGAAATGCACAGAAAATTACGCACACAAATGCCAAAATAAAAGAATAAATTTTCTTTTTAAATAATGTTTATTTTTACAGGAATTGTGATAAAATAATGAATTAAGTTTAGAATGACATGTCATTTTACCGTCTGCTTGTATCCGAATATGACTAGCTAATCCCTTTTGCAGGTGCCAGCTCAGATACATTTGTTCAACACCCACAAATCCAACCCATGGTTTACACTGCAACATTGTGGACCTGAGTTTCTCAGAGAGCGCGCATAATCATTTTTAACAAGGCTTGATCATGAAAACTTCGTAACTTAATTTTATATGCACTATTGATTGAATTAATTAAGATATACACATAGACAATTACTGAATTGATTACAATGTAATAGAAATAACCGAACAATTACTTCGTAATGAGTCGTAATGCAAATACACATGAAGTATAAGATATCAGAAGAGGATTATTGTTAGTTCGAAAGTGGAATGAAGTAACATCAATATTGAAAATCCTACTTTCAATTTCATATTCATTCATGAAAGATATAATCGTATTCTAATGTAGGAAAAACAAACGCCTTAGACACAAACCAAAAAATATCCATTGCAAAACTGCAGTTGGGTGACAGCTCAGAAATGACAGAACGGCAACCACATATAACACAGAAGTACACAATAACGTGCCTAACCCTTTAAATATGTAGTTTACATCTGAATTTCTTATCATTCTTGCTATTCCCATTTTGTCTCAACAAACATCAGCTCCACCTGGTGACTTTTTCTTTAATGCTATTGTATTGAAATTAATTAGATTTGATTGTATGTTTTGTATATTTTCTTTTTCCTTCATTTACTTTAGTTTTGTAATTCTTTTTTTCCAGCAGTGCCTTACTTTTTTCTTCTTTTCTATTTCCTGCTCACTTGTCTTTATCATCATTTCTCTTTGATTGTTTTGTCTTTAGGAAAATTTTCATTTATTTCCCATCATATTTCTTTCTTTTTTTTTCTTTTTTTTTTTTTTTTTGACATATCCTTACACTCTTTTTCTCGTTTCCTATTTCTTTCTGTCAAATTATTGGTAGTACACAGCATTATCAATTTCCATTTGTAAATGTAAATTACTAATTACCAAAATGCTACATTTGTTAAAATACTTCTCTTTTTAAAAAAAAGTGTGGCAATATTTTGTTGGGCAAAGAAAGACATGAAACAAGCGATTATACAAATTATTAATGTGGATTTCATAGTGAAGGAATATTGTATTGCACCAATATTTCAAGCATAATGTCTAGAAAAATCAGGATGTGCCAATTTAAGTTTTCATCTCTTGTCTCAATGACAGAATCGTTTGGTGGATTAACAGATTGACACCGAGAGGGAATTGAAATAATTTAAATAGTGAAAGCACGACAAAATTAAATAAATAACAATGATTCTAACCACTCATGCATGTACTGTCTGAATTAGTTGGCAAGGGGAGATTTATTTTTAATGTGCAAAATAAAAATAAAATGATTAAACTTTACACAGCAATTATTTTTGTCAATAATTATCCGATAATTTGTGCCGAGCGTTATAAAATTAGAAATGCCGATGTTCATCCGGTTATGGTTGATATCATTTCATAATGTAGGATTTATTTTTAAGTATGCAGTTTCATTTAAACTGTTTTTTTTGCTGGCGGGGGATGGTAGTGTCAGAAATATCATATCAAATTTCTTGTAAAATATTTACACTTACATTACAATTTACTTACTACAGTTTCAGATATGTTTGTTTTAAGGGCTTATGATAGTAATTATGATACCTGGATTCATTATCAGAAAAATGGTTGACGGTGGGATCGAAAACAAAATTGATTTACAAAATGTAAGCCAGAATTTAGAAAATAATGGCAAACATTTCATCTATTTAAAGATTAACGTATATTTTTTCATCAGAAACAACCTTAAAATTTTAAAAAACGACATAGAAAGAAAATATATAAAATTATAACAGACAAAATTAATTGTAACATAAAAAATTGTAACAAATTGAAGCACATCGACTTCTTTGTCTAATAAATATTATATATATGTATATGTGTGTGTGCGTGCGTGTGCGCGTGTGTGTGTATATGTCTATGTGTGTAATTCGTGGTTTTACCTTGCATCATATACCACAGGAGTATTTACTGCATAGTATAACTACACTTCTACTATACTAATCACAAATCACTGAAATACTATATTTACCTTTTTTTTTTTTTGCTTCCCGCCATATTTTAACAGTATCATTAGTAATTAAGTGCTTGTCGACCCATTTGGTATCTAAAACGTGTGCATGTATCTGTCTTCACACGCACGTACATAGAGAGCATACATAGAGATATAATATTCATCAATTATAAAGGAATTCAATAACACTCTTGCATTGATATGAATTTATTTTTTCCTGTTTGAAATGCTAAGTTCTTTACGTTTTTAGTTTGAAAAGGATTTTTTTTAATAATAAATTATGCGTAAACCTTTGCTCATTTTCTCTCTAACGGCTCTGAAGGACATTTTAGATGTATAATTCTGAAATCATATCTACATATATCATGTTACTGGTATAAATCGATATTCTGTTACTTGGACGTTACGACTTGATAATTAAGAGAAAATGGCTAGTCCAGTCGATAGAACAAATGCAATCTTATTCGAACAAGAATAGGTAGGGGATTGTCTGTGTAGTAGCGCCATGATGATCACGAAAATTACTCTGTTCGCTGTTCATTTTAAAATACTTTTACTGCTCAGAATGTAACAAAGAAATTTCGTTCTATTTAAACTGAGTTCAACACAAGTTATTCCAATTATAAATAATCCGTTTTAAATTAAGAGAATGTAAAAACAAAATTGCTGTTTTTTGTTTTGTTTTTGTTTTTTGTTAACATTTCCATGGAATGTCAGACAGATAATTCGATTTTGGAGTTTATTATTAGGTTGGCTGAACGTCGTTTGCACAGAATTTAATTAAAAACTGTGTTTAAATATTTTTTTTATTTTTATATACTTTAAAATTGTTGTCATTTTAATTTCCGTGAGTTATTTTAAAAATACAAATTATTTTATATATTGTTGCCTTCATTTTTGTTATTATAAAGAGGTTTCCGTAAATCAATTGTTCGGCCTCCCTCGGATGTATGCTGTAACGAACTTTAGATGGTTTTTTTTTTTTTCACTCTTCTTTTATATCTTAAGTTGAAATATAACAATACAATCAAATCATAACGTGCAAAATGTTAATGACTTCTGCTAGAAAATGGAAGGGTTAAAGATTGAGGTTTTCTACAAGGAAAGGAAGGCAAAATGCCATCCACAGAATATCAACGTTAAGTAAATGAGGTGACACATATGAATTTGTATAAATAAAATGAATGCATAAGCAAATTTTGTATAGATGTTAATGAAAACTAGTGTTAAAACTAGTGTATGCTGACGTTTCACTATATCGGAAATCAACACAAAACCATCTAAATTGCATCAGCACATTAAACTCGTAACCCCAGGTGTCAATTCAGATGACAGGTTCCATTCTAGTGTGCTCTTTTGCTTTCACCAATAACACGACACCTTAACGCTAAATTATGTTATTTTGAATACATAAATGAACCTGACAACAAGAGTCAAGTTGAAATCTCATTTGCTCCATCATTCTCACAAGAGCTAGTCACGTAATTTTCTTGTACTGATATGTTCGAGCTGAATAAATAAAAAAATAACAATGGTCGTAAAAAAAACAAAAACGCTTCACAAAGTCAAATAACGTGATGGACATGAAAGTCGAATAATCTGAAAATATATCAAAGGAAAATTTTATTTCATAATTTCAACAAATAGCAAAATATTTTGATTTCTTGTGATAAATAAAGGGCAATTTGTTGCTTATAAATAAAAAGTTTGCTCATTGTGAACAGATCCAGCGGAAAAAAAACTATAATAGATATTTATAAATTACTATTACGCTTGACAGATTGACTTATTTTTGTTCTATTGATAATACCTAATGATTTTTTCTAATATATACAAAAGTGGGAATCCCCACATTTTTCTCTCTTCGTTAAAACTCATTTGCATAAAGCCTTTAATTGAGGATGTATTTTCAATGATCCCCAAACAATTAAAATTCTCTAAACAATTTTATATTTGCATTGTCTTATCGAAATATCCATGTGTCCTATTTTTCAGTGTGTCAGTGCGGTAGAGTTCCAGATGAACAGCGACTCTACAGGGAACTTATGACTGGTTATGAGAAATCAGTGCGTCCTGTCATCAACGCTTCCACCATTCTGATGGTTCGCTTTGGCTTGCGTCTCAATCAAATAGTTGATCTGGTAAGTCGTGCTTAATATTCACAAGAATAGAATCTGATAAATGCCACTACCAGAAATACGTAAGACTAAATTGCCGTAGATTAGAACTTTCTCACTCGAGATAACTTTTAGAAAGAATTTCTTGAAGTCAGTAGAACACTCACTGTTATCGGTCCTGACCTGGCATATCAGCTTCAGTTACTTTCTCACCGCCATAACGTAGCTTCTCTGTGCATTTTCTGCAAGTATTTTTATGGTAATTATTCTGATGAACTTTTCCTTTTGATGTCACGACACTACAAATTTAAGTTTAGTACTAGATTGAAACTTAGGTCTCATTATTTGAAATTGTTAAAGGGAATCATGTGTTCAATGCTAAAAGCTTCTTCTCTCACACTTCTCGCTTGTTTTTCTCGGGATCTTTCGCTCTCACTAACCCCGTTGTGTCTTTGTGGCTTTATCGCCTTGCTTGGGGTGAAAGAATTTATGGTCTTGAATGTCAATAATTCACTGAGGCTTACGACAGTTTATTTAATATTGCAATAAAAATACAATTACATACGAATACAGCCCGTGCTCTTAGTTTGAAAAGTTATTTGAAATTTTTAAACGCGTCTACATGATTTTAAACACGTCTACATAATAAAGGAATGTGTCACAGGCCAGATATTAGAAATTGGAAATATTTATGTCTGTTTGTTTTTTATTCTAATATGAGCGGGATGAAATAAAAACGAAAAAAAAAATGAATAATAATTCCACTATAGTTCCAAATTATCAAAATCTGAAAGGAAAATATTACAATGAAGAAGACATAGAATCTTTATCTAATTTAAGACTTTGATCAATGACAACTTCTCGTCATTTGTCTTTTGTGCCTACGAAATTTAACTTGCACTACAGTAATATACTGTGTCTGTTTTTTTCTATTTCCTTCGTTTAAGTAAATGTGACCTCGATCCAACCAGTGGTCAGATTGATGTAAATCTACCGAAATCTTGTTGAGAAAAATTCAGCTAATATTTTGAAAAAACAAAAAGATCATCATATTTTCAAAATCCTATGTCATCTGATACAAATACAAAGAAAAAATTATAAATATTAATAATGCAGAATTAGAATGTTTTCTAATGTTCAGAGGATTAGTTTAAAAGATTTATTTCTATTTTATTTTATAAATATATCGCAGTGTTTATATTTACAAAAATAGTTGGAGAGCAAATTGGGACATTTTATAATTGGTTTCCATAATAGTGATTGCATTCTCTGAATATTTAAAAATAAATTCTGGAAAGGCGAAACAATAGCTTTAAACATTTAAACCGACACCACTTGATGTAAATACTTCCGCTGACAAAAATGATGGCGGATTTCCGAATTTGTCACGCCCACCTAAGATTCCTGGACGGAAAAAATCAATTTGCCTGTGGTATATCAATTCAAACTGAGTTTTCTAGTTGGCGTCCGGCCTAGGTTTTGCTGTTCTATTGAGCTCTCCAAAAAGGCTCTTTGCTCTGAATATATGTTAGTTTCCCATTGCACTAATTCCCTTTTCTCAACGTGAACGAGGCATAATAATCTGTGTTATAAATGCCTATATTCGACAGTATTCGATCATTCTTTGTGAAATATTCAGTATCTATGTTTTAACAACTCGAGATTTCTGCACCAATGAATGAGAGACCCGCTGACCCAAGAATTATTGCTGCTACTTGAATATTTCGAATCAAACTATTGTTCACAAAAGTTATTTATTATAACAGAGAAATTGTATCTCTAACTCATAAAAGAAACTTGAATATACTCTTCAGGTCAGAATGAATGACAATATTGGAAATAAACATATTTTTGTCATTTGCCTGTATTTGTTTTCACGGTTTTGTCATTCATTCTGACCTGAAGAAACCGATACTAACAGATGTCGGCGAAACGCGTCGTTTATAAGCATTTCCACTTTGTCTTATCATCTTCACTTCGGATAAACACACACACGCACACATGCACACGCACACATGCACATGCACACACACACACACACTTCTGTGTACGTGCGTGTGTATGTCTACGTATATATATATATATATATATATATATATATATATATATATATATATATATACTTTGTTCTTGCATCGCCATGAAGAATGCTATCAAGTGTCCTGCCAGATCGATTGTTCTCTGACTAGTTGATCACATTCAATGACAAGATATAATTAACCAATCGTTGTCTTTCAAAGTAATGTCCAGCAATTTACAAGAAATGGACAGTTTATTCCGTCAATAAGTGATATTTGCTAGTCTTATGGTGAGAACATAAAATTGCTAGTTAAGAAATTCGAGACCTGTATACTATTTATCTGAGAAAATCATTCTGAAAAATATCGGCTTGGCTTTTTGTTGCGAAATTTATCTAGTTACGAAAATCTATGTAGTTACATCTAATTCGAATGTCTAATTAATTTCTGAAAGTTAGCTAGCTTAACTTACTAACAAATACTTATTATTATACTTACTAACTTATACTTCTTAGATAATTTGGCATGAACTAATTCTTGATGGATTCTTACCATAGTAACCACATATAAGCTCGCACTGTTCCAATGTTTTTTAAATTTTCTATTTTTATATATTCTTATTTGTCTACATAAATAAAATAATATTTTTTTTTTACAAGTAACTCCATTTACTTGTATGCACGTACCTTCACAGTGCGTGCTTATGTGTAAGGCAGGTCGGAATTAAAACCTCTGCTTTGAAAGAATCAGAAGTGTAAACATCAAATTGCTAGTTAAGAAATGTCCTAGGAGAATTCAAGAAACATGCAATTACAGGAGAATCGGCTGGCGAAAAAAGAATCCAAGGCAGGAACTTTAAAGAATTTCGGATCCATGAAATGGAGACTTGGAATTCACATGAAACGTTCGGGAAGAAATTCAAAGAACTAATTTTAATGCAATCTAAATGTCTTTTTCCAACCAGGGGTAAGGAAAAATAAATATTTAAAAAGTAATCTTAAACAATGCTTTATATGAGATATGTCACCTTTGTCATTTTGAAGTGAATGATTTCGTTGTATATCGCTTATCAACCGCTCATCTGGAAAAATGAACAAAATACAGGATTAAAATTAAAATTAATAATGGACATAGTTTTAAAACTGAAGAAGACAACGTAGAAAAGGGAAAACTTGGAAAACTGGTGAGTCAGAAAAATTTAGACGAAAAAGAAACAATTGCTGAATGAAAAATGAAGTACGCGAAGAAGAATAAAATAAAAGGAAAGGAGAAAAAAAACGAAAAAGATAAGTTTTTAGGAGGAGAAGGAGAAATATGAGAAAGAAGGAGGAAAGTAAAAGGAATAAAAATAACTAAAGAAAGAGAAGAAGGAGGAAGAGGGGGAAACGTAATCGTGGGAGAAAAATCGTGTCGCAGGCATTTATTAAACAGTGTGCCATAACCTTAGAGCGCTGAAATAAAAATCGAATTCAGTAGCAATAGTCTGACACATTAGCCTGTTTATCATCGCTCTACGGGAAGATGACAGAGGAAAAAAAACATAATAATTTATGGTTACAACAATAAGTGAAGCGGGTGTTTTTGAAAAAAATAAACCGAAAATCTCGGCATCGTATAGTGACTACAAATAATTAATTAATTTAGTTATTATTTATGTAGGTATTTGTACACTTTCCCAATTAGGCTTGCCTTCATCTTTAATGAAGAAACCACACAACCATGTTTTCGATATACCACAAGCATCATTGACACAGCGCTGACCCTAACCCACTTTTAGAACAATGTGAAAGTGTAAACCAAAGAGAACGCGTCTCCTAGAATTAGAGATTATACATTTTATTTTCCCAATCATGACCAAAGAGTTTTCTCCTAAGTGTGACCAGATTTCAAAATTAGGTTTCATTTGGAAATAATTGTTTATTGTATTGGAAAATGATCAACTTCTCTTTGTTACGTACAGCAGTGTGTTCGTAATCACATCCAATACACACATTGTGAACTCTACCTAGAAATTCAGTTAAACTAATTAAAACAACTAAGACATTATTTCAAATTAAGTTCTGCCAAAAGTGTAGATGTTCACAATAGAAATAAAAGGATTAAATAAGTATTAATAACATATGTAATAATTCTAATGCGTTTCTTCGCAATTTTCGAATAGAATACAAAACAATTCATATCTTTCATTGTAAAAACAGTCATTATTACTTAAAATTTAAAAGAGTGAATTATAATTCATGTATTTAAAATACAGGGTATTCCAAAAGTCAGCAAGAGGTCTGAAAGTTTAATAACTTTTTTGTTTATTAACTTTTTTAGTTTTCTTTCAGATGTGTTATAAAGGAGGCTTTGAAAAATTAATCAAGTAAAAATAAATGGCTGAAAAAACGAAGACAAATAGTGAAATCTTTCTACCAAACACAAGGATCAATAATTCAAACACAACGAAAATATCATCGCAAATGCGGGGTGAGAGATTTTCCAAGTTTTGAGGGAAAAGGTCAGTAAGTGAGCTTACACAATGGTAGGAACGATGGAGTATTTGAGCGAGTAAGAGAGAGTATCGAAGAAGATCCAAGCGAAGGCGATCTCGACAGGTTTGAATCTCTCAAACATCACTCTAACGAATGTTTAAATGCACCCATCTGTTACCGATGGGACAACAACTCATGCCATGGGCTACAATTCAGTTTCTAAGGCAAATTTGTGAGAAAAGAATAATTTATCACGATTGATGCATAAACTGGCCTCCACTTTCTCTGATCTGACTCCTAGGTGGCTATCCAACAGAAAAGATTTATGTTAACAAGACTGTGCAACAACATCAAAGCATTAGAGCCTGAAATACTACTGAGAGCTGTGATGGAAAAGGCCTTAGAAAAGGGCACTTTCAGGCGAAGCTGAAAATGGATGCTACTTAAAAAGTCAATTTATTTCCCATATCTACTTTATATAATACTATTGTATTGTGAATTCAAGTTACAAAAGTAAAAGAGTTTAATAATTCCTTTATCTTTAATTTTGAGATCCATTGGTGACCTTTGAGACACTCTGTACTTAATTTTCAGAAACATCATGAAAATCACTATTTCTTTTGAATAATCCTGTTCATTTATGTTCAAATCGCTTATCAACCACTCATCTGTATAACATTATAGCGCTTTCTCAACTCCTGTATTAGGAGAAAGAAAATCACATTCCAGCCTTGTAAACATTTTGGTACTAAGGTTGTATTTTTTATTTACATCTCTTTACAGTTTTACATTGGAGCTCAAAGAATGTGCTGCAAAAATGCATATTTCTTAAAACAGCATGCACTCTTTATTTCTCTCGTGAGATTGGAAGCTTATAATTCTGTGCAGTCAAAGCACGGTCACAGAAGGAAGACTTTAAAGTTAAGATCACATAATTCATATTTTCTTCTGTGTACCGTATATAAGCAAGAAAAGAAAGAGATGATAAAAAATGGAAATGCCAAGTCCAGAATTATGTCTGATGCCAAAGATTATTCTGATGGTTTTGGAATACAATGTCATCTGTAAAAGATAATGTGCTACAATAGAAGACGTATGAAAAGACAATAAAGAAAGCCGCGCCTATTTTACTAACCTTCATTCACAAAAATATAAACGAGACACGTATCTTTAAATTTGAAATTTACCGAGATACTGACAACATATACTTCCTCTTAATGACTGATACAATCGACACTACTTGAACAAAGAGAGAACAAAACCATGAAATGTTTATCCACAATTTTGATGTACCAAATGTAAAAGTTATTCGAAAACTGAAAAATCTCGTGAGACTTATTTATATATTCTGTAAAATTGTCCCAATGAAGCACAGCTTGCACTGCTTCTGGCACCAGCTTGTTTCTTTTTATGACTACCTGCTAAAGATGATTGGTGCCCTTTACAATTCAATTGAAGGCATTGAAATATATGACAAAGGACATACAGGGTCATTTTATGTGTTAACGAAGAATATATTTAAATCAATTTGTTTTTATATATTTGCATTTACCTACCTACCTACCTACCTACCTACCTACCTACATACATACATACATACATACATACATACATACATACAAGTAAATTTTGCATTTGTTATGTTAGAATATTTATTTTAAGAATAAATACATTTTTTAAATATGACTCTGGAGTCAATTTTTCTTATTTTATGTACTTTTTTTATATTTTAAATTGTGTTTTTCCCAATAGAAAGAATATTCTGATTTAAGTTTTGTTTTTGCTTAATACCAGGACGAGCGGCATCAGGTGTTGACTACAAATGTGTTTATTGATCAGGTGAGTTGTTAACATGTTTCATATTTTATTTACATAAATTCGCTGAAAATCAAACAAAGAAATATATCTTTGATCAAACACATTACAGGCTCCTTTTACTTTGTTGTTAATTGACTGCACTGCATAGTTAACAAATCAATCAATGTTATTTTTAGATTCTCTTTTAAACTTTGACCTCTTCAAGATCTTAAATGCAACGCCTTCTGAAATGCTAATTTGTTTCTTTACAGTTTATTTATCAATTCACTTTTCTTTCATTTTATTTTTATTTTTTCTTTCCATTTTACTTTCTATTTTTGATTTTTTTCTGATTATTACTTTTTATTCCCACCATATTTCCTTTGTTTCTTCTTCATCCCTCTGTTTTATATTCTTATTTATTATCTCATTCTTTTTTTTATTTTTATCTTTTATTGTTCATTTCTTTTTTCATCAAATTTTTGGTAATTTGTTTTTTCGTTACCCTGCTAGGACGTGCGAATGTTTCCAGATAGATAGATAGATAGATAGATAGATGTTCATATTTATTTGTATAGCCATGTGTTTATTTTATTTTTTCTCTCAGACGACTAAAAGAGAGCAGTTTCGTTTTCGAGGCGTTACAATTAAGAAGCCACTCCCAATTAACAAGAGATTGTAGGTCATTTTTTAGATCAGCTGCCAATTTGGCCACATCGAATAGATAAGATTTACTATTAAGACAGGAAGAAATAGTTGTGTCATCAGTATAGATACCGAGTTGAGGACTGAGTCCATCAGAAATGAAATTTAGGAACAACGTAAGTCCAAGGTTAGATAGAGGCTTGGCAGCGCTTGAATTAATACAAACTGATCTAGAAGAGTAGCCTTCAAGGCAATTTTCATCTCGATAAGAAAGACAGAATCAGTTCAAAAATTCGCCCAGAAATATCTTTCAGTATGCTAAACCCTGTAAAATACCTTACAGATGCCCTAAGCAAACTTCACAACTCTTATCTAGAGTCTTTCGGCAATGACCGTTAACACATCAGCAGTTAACCGAGAAAAGCAAAAGCCATATTGCTTATCTGAAAGAAAAGTCTGTGAGGTGAGAGGTTTAACCAATTCAAAGTTGATTCGAACCTCTAGTATTTCGCCAAAAAGCTGTAGAATATCCAAATATTTGTTTTTAGACAATATCTAATTCGTTATCATTATTACAATGATGGTTGGTATGGCTCTGGGATAATTATACCTTATAAATGGTTTCCAATGTACAAGCTATTAAGGATACTACTATTGGGAATGTCCTATATCTCACCCCTTAACATATTTGGTCTTTAAAAAGCAATATCATTAACTACGCCAGATCTTTACAAATGTTTTCTTCAGAAAATATTTTCTTCGTAAAACCTTTTTTTCTTATTTATTTTGGTTTACCTCAGACGATATTTGCCCTCTTGTCAATTTTACTGCATTCTCTGATTTGCCTTTTCATATGACGATCTTTCGGTACACCAAAGCTGATTGATATAGCTTTTGCTCTTAAGATATAGAGCCTCCAAAATATCCACTTGTCAGTCCTATTTTATGCCAGAACGTGCTGAGGCAACCACTCATAAAATATCTTATCACATGGAACAATGTAGTAAGACATTTGCTGCATCCGAAACTGCCTGCCATCATTAAAATAGTTCTAGACAATGCAAATTGAATCTCTGCACAAGCAGTCCAAACCAAAGTCAAAAGTGGTTTCTGGAAAATCTCTAAACAAATTCTCAGTTTACGCAAAACATCGGTGCCTGCTATCATAAATAATCCTGAAGTTATCTCATCATTCTCACATAAGGCAAAGTTCTTTCCAACAATCTTTGCGATAGATGACAAGAACCATTTCCTTCCAGAGGTAGAACAAAGTAATATCGCGGCCTGGGAAGTCTTCAGGCTAATCAAAAGGCTTGATCTTAAGAACGTTACCTGCTAGATAAAATCCCGAAATTTGTCATGAAGAACATTAGCCATGAGTTATTGGAAATAAATCCTTTCTAAATCTATAGAATGTGTCAAGTGAAAAATCTGTTTTCAAGGATGCAAGTGATCGCTCATCCCCATCTCAATATCAGCCCATCAGCCTCATTAGGATCATCACCAAAGTCTTTGAAGCAATCATCAACAAGAAGATGGCTGATCACCTTAACAGGATTAACATTCTATGCGAAAAAAAATACGGATTTTGATCTGCTCGATGCATTACTCCGCGCCTTGCTCGGCGAATTGCTCGATCCACTACAGATTTCGATTTCCTAGGTTCACTGCTGGCTTCATTGCTCCGTCCATTACGGATTTCGATATGCTGGGTTCACTGCCCGATCCATTGCTCGGTCCCCTACGGACTTCGATGTGCTAGGTTCATTGTTCGGTCCACTGCCCGGTCCACTAAGGAATTCAATCTATTAATTTCACTCTTCGGTCCATTGTTCGCTCCCCTATGGATTTCGAACTGCTAGGTTCACTGTTCGGTACACTGCCCGGCCCACTCCGGATTTCGATCTGCTAGGTTCACTTTTCGGTCCACTGCTCGGTCCAATACGGAATTCATTCTGCTATATTCACTGTTCGGTGCACTGATCGCTAACTATGGATTTCGATTTCCTAGGTTCCCTGTTCGGTCCACTGCTCGGTCCCCTACTGATTTCTATGTGCTAGGTTCACAGTTCGGTCCACTGCCAGGTCCTCTACGGATTCAAACTTCAATGTTCACTGTTCGGTCCACTGTTGGATCAACTACGAATTTCGATTTCCTGGGTTAACTGTTGGGTGTGCTGCGGATTTCGATTTACCTTTTTCACACTTCGGTCCACTATGGATTTAGGACAGCTATGTTCACTGTCCGGTCCATTACACGGTCCACTGTGGATTTCGATCCGCAATGTTCACTGCTGGGTCTACTGCTCGCTAAACAACGGAATTCGATCTGCTAGATTCACTCTTCGATCCACTGTTCCGGCCACTACAGAATTCGAATTCCTATGTTCACTGTTCAGTCCACTGCTCGGTCCACTATGGAATTCGATCTGCCATGTTCACTAAGCTCGATGCGCTACGGAATTCGATTCTCTAGGTTCACTGTTCGGTCCAATACAGGGTTCGATCTGCTAGGTTCACTGTTCGGTCCACTATGGAATTCGATCTGCCATGTTCACTATGCTCGATGCACTACAGAATTCGATTTCCTAGGTTCACTGATCGGTCCACTACTCGGTCCATAACGAATTTCGATTCTCTAGTTTCACTGTTCGGTCCACTGCTCGGTCCATTACGGATTTCGATTCCCTAGGTTCACAGATCGGTTCACTGCTCGGTCCACTACAGAGTTCGATCTGCTACGTTCACTGTTCGGTCGACTGCTCGTCAACCACGGATTTCGATTCTCTAGGTTCACTGATCGGTCCACTGATCGGTCCATAACCAATTTCGATTCTCTAGTTTCACACTTCGGGCCACTGCTCGGTCCACTACAGAGTTAGATCTGCTACGTTCACTGTTCGGTTCACTCATCGGTCCACTGCTCAGTCCACTACGGATTTCGATTAGCTAGGTTCATTGTTCGGGCCACTGCTCGGTCCTCTACGGATTTCGATCTGCTAGGTTCACTGTTCGGTTCACTGCTCGGTCCACTACGGAATTCTATATGCTATGTTCACTGTTCGATCCAGCGCTAAGTCCACTAAGGATTTCGATCTGCTAGGTTCACAGTCCGGTCTACTACGGATATCGATTTACTATGTTCACTCTTCGGTCCAGTGCACGGTCCACGACGGAATTCGATTTTCTAGGTACACTGTTCGGTCCACTACGGATTTCGATCTGCAAGCTTCACTGTTAGGTCCACTGCCAGGCCCACTACGGAATCCCTATGCTACCTTCACTCTTCGGTTTACTGCTCTGTCCACCACGGATTTTGATATGCTACGTTCACTGTTAGGTCCACTGCTCAGTCCACTACGGAATACTATATGCTAGGTTCACTGTTCGATCCAGCGGATTTCGATCTGCTAGGTTCATTGTTCGGTCCACTGCTCTGTCCACTACGGATTTTGATATGCTACGTTCACTGTTAGGTGCACAGCTGAGTCTACTACGGAATTCTATATGCTAGGTTCACTGTTCGATCCAGCGGACTTGGATCTGCTAGGTTCATTGTTCGGTCCACTGCTCTGTCCACTACGGATTTTGATATGCTACGTTCACTGTTAGGTTCACAGCTGAGTCTACCACGGAATTCTATATGCTAGGTTCACTGTTCGATCCAGCGGATTTCGATCTGTTAGGTTCATTGTTCGGTACAGTGTTAGGTCCACTACGGATTTCGATTTTCTATGTTCACTCTTCGGTCCACTACGGATTTCGATCTGCTAGGTTCATTGTTCGGTCAACTACGGATTCCGATCTGCTAGGTTCATTGTTCGGTCCACTGCTCTGTCCACTACGGATTTTGATATGCTATGTTCCGTGTTAGGTTCACAGCTCAGTCTACTACGGAATTCTATATGCTAGGTTCACTGTTCGATCCAGCGGATTTCGATCTGTTAGGTTCATTGTTCGGTACAGTGTTAGGTCCACTACGGATTTCGATTTTCTATGTTCACTCTTCGGTCCACTACGGATTTCGATCTGCTAGGTTCATTGTTCGGTCCACTGCTCTGTCAACTACGGATTCCGATCTGCTAGGTTCATTGTTCGGTCCACTGCTCTGTCCACTACGGATTTTGATATGCTACGTTCACTGTTAGGTTCACAGCTCAGTCTACTACGGAATACTATATGCTAGGTTCACTGTTCGATCCAGCGGATTTCGATCTGTTAGGTTCATTGTTCGGTACAGTGTTAGGTCCACTACGGATTTCAATGCTTGAAAAACTGGCTGGTCACAGTCAATACCTCAAAAATCAAGCATCACTGAACATTCGAATTTTCGACTCTATATCACTGAGGTGTGCCCTCTTAAGGCGGGCTCTTTACCTTGAACACCTATTGAGACTCCAGCTTACAGGAACTGGTGTATACAATCCATCCCAAAATATTCTGGAAAAATGGTAGGTTCCCTGTACGGATCTAGTATCAGGTTCATCCATCTTATACAGGAGCCAAATCAGGTCGAAAGTACAGTACTGGTGCTGCCCAGTCTTCACTTTCCAATCTTGATAGCGTTGAAAGTATCGAGGCGACTTTGTGGATGAGGAATTATTTCTACCCTAAAACCCCTTTTCTGCATATGAAACCTTTCAAGTCTCTCGATAGTATGGAAATAAGTTCCATGGAAAATGTTCAAACGAGCTACACATTCTTTAGTTGCATCAAGTCCAACCCTCACTGCTAAGTCCCGCCTGGATTCGCCCATTGTGCGAGCCACCCTCATTCCCATCGTATTACATTAGTAAGAAGGAATTTCCACTCGAACAGCGTCTTCCCCCGAACTGCTACTGAAACCGACTCCCAAGAGGATACATTCCCGATCACTACAAGCTTAACCTCTTCCTTAACTCTTATCTTTTCCACGTAAACTGTGACTCTAACCTGTTATTCTTGCCGCTCATACAACAATTTCCTTCACTAAACCTCTAACTTGTATGACACCTGGGCCTTATATAGGATGAACATTAGTTTAAAAAATCTATCATCATCATCATCATCATCAGCATCAGCATCAATAACAATATAATTTCTTGTCCATAATTTCATAGTTCAAAATAGTGATTTTTCCATAATGTAATATCAAATATTTAAGGTTTCACGCTCCAAAATTTCTCCTGCAGACAGTATTTTTTATTTTGCATATTTATTTTTAGATAATAATTTTCTTTTCTTTTAGGAATGGTCTGATGAAAATTTGTATTGGGAACCTCGGAAATACAACAGTGTACGTTCTTTAAGAGTTCCAGCCAAGAACGTATGGCTGCCGGACACTTTTATTTACAACAAGTAAGTTTGTTCGATTTCTGAATATAAAAATGTTGATTCTGAAAATTGCACACATCCGCAATCATAATTACTGCCTTTCTCTTCTGAGGAGACAATGTGCACAATCCGCATGAGTGTGCCATTTGATTAACTATAGAAATAGTTTTTTTTTAATGCACACACGCACACATATGCACATACACGCACACACATGCACATACACGCACACAAATACAAATAGTGTTTACATTCAAACATATCCTAAATCAGAAAAATAATTTTCGTTCGGAAAACTATGTATTAATTTAAAATGAAACTCTTATTTTCTCATATAGTTTGTTGAAATTTTAAAAAAAATACATTTATTAACAATTGTTATCCTTAAAATAGTTGTAAGTGCAATGCAAAGATGATGCCAGCAAAAGGTTTGAAAGTTGTTTATTTGTTATTTCTTCGTTTTGATATAGTAAGCCATACTACTTGAAATGTAAGTGTAAGGGACATAACTCTATAATTATAATCATTTACATGTAATTAAAGTTTATAAATTACTCGATTTAAATTTAACACTCTATACCCAATGAATAATTACGTTTTATTTAAATTTAACTTTACTCACTCCACGGACAGATGTCGTCCTAAGTTTTATTCACTGGCTATCAGTTGCCATCCTCATTGCCTTTTTATTTATTTGTTCAGTTAAAGTTACTTTGTAAAACTGTCTAGGCTCGAAGAACTGTAATTTTTTTTACAAATAAAAGAGAATCATATTTCTAATAAATTAAATAAAAACTTATAAATAAAATATAAATTCATAAAAAATAAAAATAAATCCATTTCTATTTCATTTTAGTATAATTTCTGTGGAAAAGTTCCAGTTTTAAAAAAACGGTTCGATTATTCTAAACATTAACACATCAATATTTATTTTGTTTAATCGAACAATTTGTTAATTGAACATTTCATTTTTATCACCACGTTCGCGTAATTCTTTCAAAATGTCGTATAAGGGAAGCAACTTATAAACTAAGTCTAAGGGAAATAATTAGAATCATTACATATTTTCCATTGAAAAGATGAAAAGAGTCGATGATATTTGAGATATTTAAATTTATGAATTTTATTCAGAATATTAAAATAAACTGATTCTCAAATTGACTTCTTTTTGGTAAAATAAAAATTGAGTAACAGAAAATAGATAATGGATAGAAGGCAAAACATTTGAAACAATAGGACTTTATAAAAACTGATGGATTCGTTCGTTAAAGTGGTTATTACTGAAGTATATGTTCTTGATTCTATAAAAGATAAAAATATAACAAAAAATATATAAATGAATAAGTTAAATATTTACAAAATGTTGACGTATTTGGTTATGCGAAAGTTAATTATCTCCCTTTTCAATTCAGGCAGGTCAAGTTATCTCCCTTAAAATAGACTCGTTAAAATAAAATAACCCTCTGCGATCATAGGAAAAAGTTGTAGGATGACATAACCTCTATCAATGCACGAAGTATAAAAAAAAATACGAATTTTAGCTAAATTTGATAGTGTTTACTCAGTACTAATATTCGTGGAAAAGGCAGGAATTCACATTTCCCTTCATTCCGCCTCCTCACTAGATATTTTGACAAGATTTCTCACTATCTTTATAACAACGCTGGTTGATGGAAAAAGTGTTGGTGTTTGGGCAAATTCATTTCCCTTTCTGGTCAGACAGAAGCAAATGAAAGCTATTACTGTAATAGTCAACCTTAACAGGATCCAATATTAATGCAATACTAATGCTATAATATGTACTAAATTACTGTCAATTTTTGGTTCATCGATAAACTATTCAATACTATTAATTATTATTTATTATGAAAAGTAAATATCATTGAAAATTTAACATTAATTCTGTTGGTTTATCTCTTTTCTTTTCTTCGAATACGAACCGATATATTAATTAGCAAAGAATAATTGAACATTAAAAATTAAGATATATCAATGAACCTCTGTAGTAATTTCTTGATGCAAGTTTGAAAACAACCGATGGATCTAAAGCAATTCATATATTTTAATTATAGACAAAAAATAAAACATAATATTATTTAAAAGACATTGTTCCTTTTTACTCTGACTTTAAGGTGTTTGGATAACTTATAACTTACTACTTTAAAGTTTCTCCAAAGACTTTTTGGAGGTTTTGTTTTTTTAATCATTTCACCGCAAAGACACAGGGAATAAAAAGAAAACATTAAGGACAGAGAAAAAAAAGAACAAGTATTAAGAAAACATAAGATAATCATTGATGTTACATTTAAATTTTTGAAGATCATACTTGGAAGAGAAGTCCAAAATCGAAAAGTGCGAAGAAAGAAACTGTTAATATAGAACTTACTGTTACATCTCGCCGCCATTTCACCTGTAAAATAACGAGACCTTGTTGCCAATCTAGAAGTGCGCTTAAAAATTCATAAAGTCTAAGTACCAAAGAAGAAAATTCCTCAAAACAATTACCATGAAAATATTAACAGAAAATGCACTACGATACAACGGTGGGAAAGTGGTTGAAGCCGAAATGCCACATCAGGTTCAATAACATAACAAATTTTTCTTTGTAATTTATTTAGAATCTCTAAATAATTAACAGAAACCTCGGATCAGATGTGACGGCAATATTCAATTCATGGATGATTGGTAGAATTATAAATGTATAAGATAGATTCTATCGAGAAAATGTGTCGAGCTAGCACGACACAGTGAACCAACTTTCCTAGCAGCAGACCTAGCAATTGATTCGATATAACCTATCAACTTCAGGAGGTGCAATGAGTCACTCCGAGGAGGTGCAATGAGTCACTCTTTTGAATGTTAGCATCAGCCATAACGTTGGAAGGCAAAGGGGGTTCTCTCAGGCGATTAAATGGTTACAGTTTTGTTTTGGGGGTGTTAAAATTAACAAATTATTTCTTGTCCCAGAAACAAACAAAATAGATTGTGAGTCAGTTTTGAGATCAGTTGCCTGTTTGACCATTAAGACAGAAGTAAATAATTGTGTTATCAGCATAGATAACAAATTGGAAACTGATGACATCAAAAAGGTCGGTGGTGAAAATTAGGAAAAACGATTTTTCAATTAAATCAATAGAAATCTCTTACAGGAACACTAAATCCTTTTACACACATCGCAAAAGACTAACATTAAAAGATTAATGGATATGTAGGGATACAGAAGACGCTTATCTCCCTTTGAGTTCCATGGGTCAAGTAATGACCTCTTTTATTATTCTGTTAGTGGGTCACTAGTATATGTGTATATATGTATATATATAGTTTTATGTCTTATTAGTAAAAAAAAAAGTCTCTCTGAGAACAAAGCATGTTTGTCATTCTTTTTCCTTTCATCCATTCCGTTCCATCTGTGAAGTACGGTGTTATTACATCACGGATATAATAATGCCCGTTACGTGAGAAATACAAGTGGGAGAATAAATCTTTCTACCATAGCTCTCTCCCGTTATAGTTATATTCATTTATTTGTGTCGGTAACGGGTGTACTTTGAGAATGAATTATGAATTTATGAGCAATAAACTTATTATAGACTTTAAAAGACGGAACAAAAAACATAGAATTTGCCCTTTATTTACTTCCTTATGATTTCTTTGTTTAAATTTTAAATTTGCCAAAGAATACTTTGAATTAATATTACACTTTTTATTTTGCCTTTTTTACTGTTAATTATCTTTAGCAATTTGCTATTTTCTAATTAAACCGACTCATAAAATTATGAAATCATTATATTTCACCGTTCATGTATTTATTTCCTTTTTAGCGCAGATGACGGGTCCACAGGATTTATGCAAGGCACGTACGTGTTGGTTGACTACAATGGTACGGTATTGTGGCCAGTTCCGGTCAAATTGAAAAGTTCTTGCAAAGTAGACATAACTTACTTCCCCTTTGACGACCAACAATGTATTCTACGCTTCGGTTCCTGGATTTACAGCGGTCTATGGATCGATTATGTTACCATGATGGAGGACAAACCAGTTGATTTGACCACCTATGTCAACAATAGTGAGTGGGACCTTTTGGCCATCACGCTGGACAAGAACATACGTACTCACTCGTGTTGTCCGGACCCACATCCTGATATGACTTACACGTTGTACATCCGACGACGGACATTCTATTATATCTTCAACATCATCATCCCGTGTGTCATGTTGTCAGCACTTACTTTACTCACCTTTTGGTTACCCCCAACCTCTGGCGAAAAGATTACGCTTGGACTGTCAGTCTTTCTCGCCTTTTCTATGTTTATGCTACTAATTGCTGAGCAAGTACCCGCTACATCCGAATCAGTTCCGCTAATAGGTATGTAAATCATTTAACTTAATCTTTATTCTTAAGTGAGATACAATATAATCCCAATGTACCTCATCCAAAAAGATATAAAAATGCACGTACGCGTGAATATCCAAAGTGAATTTTAATTTTTATATATTTCTTTTAATCATTTCACCAAGGCAATAAAGTCACTACGATACAACGGGTTACTGAGTGTGGAAAGGATAAGAAAAAATAGAAACATTATTAAGGAGCGGGAACATTAAAAGAAGAGTCATCAAGAAGACAGTAGATAACGATTGACATTGCATTTGAATTTTTGAAGAATAAAGAGAAAGAGAAAAAGAGAAGAGTTAACATAGAACTTGCGCTTACAGCTAAGCAATTCAACTGTAAAATGATGAAACCTAGCCGCCAATCTAGTACTGCGTTTAAATTCATAAAGTTTAGGTACTAAGAAAGGCCAAAACGTTGTGATAATAACAACAAAGATGAGGACAAAAGTCCGAATATAAATATTGTAAAGAACGATAACTCTTCATCCCAGAAATTAATGCAGATATTTCTAAAAGACATCTTTACTCAATGAATGGGACGCTATCTGAAATGACAACAAATATTTCTAATACCGTTTCTACTTGTAGATAATTGATTATATAATAAGGTTTTCCTTAAAATTCGTAAAAGTTTCTTTTTTGTATTAATAAAATATAGGACTTTTTGGTTTTATGGCAAAATTTCAAAAATGCACTATGCAGTGCATCTTTGAATTTTTACCAAACCAAAACCCAAATTTTCACAAGTACTACTCTTAATAATAAATGTAGCATTAAGTTTTGTTTTGAAATCTGATTCCCAATTAGGGCTATTCCACATTCTCTGAAGTATATAAATTCCCCATTCTCTGAAGTATATAAATTCCCCATCCTCTGAAGTATATAAAATGTGATAGAATTCTAGGGAAAGCCGGAAGATACAAAAATCAAAAGTTATCACCAACTACTAAAACTAAATTCGATGAAAATATCAATCTTTGGCACTCCTACTGAGGAATTAACTTCTTATAAATGGTTCGTATGGCTAAAATGTTGAGGACATAATTATGATTAATGTCTCAAGTAAAAGTAAAATAAAAAAATAATGACAAATCTGATGAAATTAACAAGCAAAGAAATATTCACATACAGATAGAGAGAAGAAAAGTTTAATTTTTGAAAAATATTTTTCTGCTATCAACATTTTTATTTCCTCTGCTATTCACATAGTTTTCAACATTCCACTAATTCCAAATGAGAATATTCGTAAGTTGTTATCCATGTAGCCCTTAATGATTCTACTAGAAGAGAAAAAATCATTGTGTTTAATGAAAGCTAAATAAAAAGAACAAAGTTTTTAGATAGCTTGAATATATTTTGCATAACCATAATGTAAGCACATACAATTTTGTGTTACATTGCCAAATCATTTTTATCGACAAATCTAATCGTTCACAACATTTAATCCAAAAGATTTTTACGAAGCGTTTATACATTCTTAAATTAGAAAACCCGTGTTTCAAACGAAATAAGCAGATTTTTGTGTTTTGACTTATAAAAGCTAAAACTGAGCATTTATTAAATTTCCACATGTCCTGCATGTTATGTGCATTTCTTTTACTTGGAAGCTGAAAGGATAAAACACTTAAAATCAATAGATTTTTGACGAAGATTAAGCGTTATTTGATTAGATCTCTCAACAGCTTCGATCGTCTTTCATTTCCGAAAAAGGAAATCAGCCTTGAAAAATCTAGAAAATGATTCGTTTTCCCTTTAATTATTTCTATAGTTCTTATGCAAATGTATTTTTATTTTTAGGTATTTATTTGTGTCTGGTCATGACAATGACGTCCGTGTCTGTTATTATGGCTGTGATGGTAATCAATCTTTATAATCGAGGAATGAAAACGAGACGAGCCCCGAAATGGTTACGAAAACTAATCCTGGAAATCGCCTCCAGTCCCTTAAAAATGAAGCATGATATAGAACATTTAGCGAAAGTTATCACTTTGGTAAGTCATTTGGTTTCTATCAAATTTCCCACTCTATCAAACTTGACGCGTATGTTAAAACACAAATGTTGAAACAAGAAATTTCCACAACGGCAATTCGTATATTACATGATGAACCTTGGCAAATGAGGGATCAAAAAGGGGAAAGAAAAGCTGATTGTCTGAACTGAAGAAACTTTAGGGTAAAAAATATCGAATCATTTACTGTACTGTATTACTAACCCCAACCCAATTTACAGCAGAGTAAACCTAACCCAGCCTTACTGTACCTATTTATGACAATGTGATAAATAAATTTACTTTATAACAATAATAGATTAGTCTAGAAAGCAAAGAAAAATAGCAGGTTGACATGCGAAACCTTATATCAAAGTTTTGAACTAAACTGAAATCATTTATCAATCCTTAAATCCATTTGCAAAAATATTTTTACATGTCATCTAAATTAAAGGTGTAAAAAAATTGAGTTCAAATGATTACGATTATTTCGGTTTATATATAATCAAATTGTTAAACCATCTTTTCTAGTATAAATGTATGTGTATATAAAGTTTGAACTGAAGAAGCATGCTTAAATTCATGTAGACGAGGCACCAAGAAAGAAATCTCATTGGAACAAGTGCCATGAAAATATTTGTAGAAAAGGCAGAGGGAAGCCACGTCACGGCGGTGGGAAAGTGACTACGACAGAGATGTCATGCCAGAGTTAATGATTTTACAGACCGTTCTTTGAATTTTGTCAGCAATCTCGAGATATTATATCAGGAGCACCAGATCGGTGATTTGGCATCAATATTCAATACACGAACGAATGGTAGATTTATAAGGCGCAATGGATTTCTCTCTTGGAGGATAGCATCAGTCAAGAGTAGGCAAAAAAAAAAAGGTGCTCTATGGTGATTAAAAGAAAGCAGGTTTGTTTTGGATTTATATGCTATCCCTTGCCCCAGTTAAACACTGATTGAAGGTCATTTTTAAGAGTAGTTGCCAGTTTTATTTTGTCGGACCTGCCAGACTTTCTACTAAGACTGGAATAAATAGTTTTGTCATAAACATAGATACCGACTTTGAAACTGATGACATCAGGAAGTTCGTTGATGATGATAAGAAACAACGTAGATCCAAGCCTTGTAGATCCCCGCATTGATATGAAAGGATCTGGAAGCGTGGCTGGTTAACACGATCTTCATTATTATCGGATTTGTATTATCAAATGTATGCGGCCAGAGACACCATAGCCCTAGAGTTTGTGGGGAAGGTCAGCATGGCAAATCCTGTCAAACGCCTTCGAGATATCTAAAGCGACAGCCTGAGCTTCGCTTTCTTAATATATTCCAATTGATCAATGAAGAATTCTTCTTCTTTAATATAAGAGATTATGCAAATAAGAATACATTATCAGAATATATATGGGAATTGTAGGATCATACGAGGAGTGACCAGTTCGCATGAAAGTGAAACACTCTAAACATAAGTTATTTCTGTTGTATCGATAACGTCAGCCAAAATATGTGTTTTGTACGAGTGATTCAAATCCAAATTTATCTTGTAATTTTAGGAACCAGATTAATGTTCCCTTAGATAAGCAGTACTAAACACCAAAGGTGATTTGCCAAGTGAGTTGGCAATAGAAATGTTCCAGAAGAAAAAGTTCCATATTGGGACGATGAACCTCACAAGAAAAGTTACCATGCAAGAAAAGTTACAGGATGAATTGAGATTGGTATCACTCGTACAAATCACTTTTCAGTTGTGCTTTTTGTTTTCTTTTTTATGTTGACGCTATCTACACAACAGTAACTTATTTCTAGGCTATTTCTGTTAAATCATTTATGAAACTTGCTAATTTTTCTTACTTTGCTCTTTATCGTTTTGATGAATAAGTAGAGTTAAACCACATTCTTTGTATTTTTATATTATTTTTCGTCATGACAGTCTGTTGCATAGATACTGTAAATACATAAAGGAAAGTGATTACGAACATCATAGATAGACGTTTGAGTGTTCTCCTTTTTATATAGGTACGATAAATCTATTTTTCAAGATTCAGAGTAACTTTTAAAGGAAAAAAGCAATTTACATCAAATCTTCCTTCGATTTACGGGTTGTACAACGGATATCGACGCGGAATATGGAACCGGCGACAGACATCTAGCAAACAGAATTCTTGCGTAGTTTTTGCATTTACTTTCACACAAATTCTCATGTGAAAATATATAAATCCATATCTTATCTCCCATCAACAATTGGTTAGACAGCAGAGTAGGCAATACTCTCTAGCATTGGTTGGCAACCAGAAGGAAAACTGTGAATTACAAGCGATGGCAAGGGGAGACGATATTCAGTCACCCACCCCACGAGGGCATCATGTTGCACAAGGCCTTTTTAACGTGGGTTCTCCGAGCCCGTGGGATCTCCCAGCCCGTGGGATCTCCCAGCCCGTGGGATCTCCCAGCCCGTGGCCTCGGCCAAAAATATGCCCATTGAACCCGTATAAACGGGCTCAGGGTCGGTTTATCTCCCCGAAAGAGAATCCGCCCTTCGGCGTAGCCTCCTTCGGGTTCCTCCCCGCCCGAAGGCAGAGAGTTCAACTGATCAGCCAGTCGACTGACTGACCGACTTGATGGCAAGGGGAGACTACTCCACCATCTTTTCCTTGAATGCAGGTAAATTCAGTTACAATTGTCTCCGTCCTAACCGGACGTGACATTAAAATAATTGTTACATTTGGTTTTTCTTTTCCTTTAAAACTTTTCGCTTAGATCTTAGGAATTGGTATGTGCATTGTATGATTTTTTAAACTATTGTTATACAACTTTAATCAGAATCTCTTCCTGATTCACAAATGCATTTCTCTAAAAATGTCGGCTTTTCACTATGAAAGCAAAACCCAAAATAAAAAATTGTTTTCTGCGCATAGGTCCCGAGCACGTCATTACATCACACAAAACAAATCCCTGTAAAAATCTAAAATGAAATAACCAATCACGAACGTTACCACAAAAAAAAAAAAAAAAGAATTGACCTGGAGCCAACCACAGATATAAAAAAAAAAAAAAAACGGTACTCCTCGCCGACAACAGACAGTTCGGCTCAGTACTTCGACCTCTTCATAGAACCGCCATCCCATCCACACACATCACCGGTGTCGATTTTGAACCCTGAAGATAGATGGATCAACCTCACCAACGATCCCCCACCACAATCGTGCTACCACGTGGTTTCACTAAGCCACTCCAAGCTTCTCCCCTGACATTAATCGTAACCTTCGTCAACCACCGACCTGCTACCTGCATCCGACATGTCACTTAATCAGTTCCCTTACCAACGGCATCTAAAGAACCGCATTTTGTCACCCTTTCGCACAACTATGTATATAATCTGAAAATTGGTCAATGCACGCTGTTGAAACTTTAATCATTGTTTGTTCTTTCCTTTGTAACCATACGCTCGTTATAATACCATCTTTGTAACCATACGCTCGTTATAATACCATCTTTGTAACCATACGCTCGTTATAATACCATCTTTGTAACCATACGCTCGTTATAATACCATCTTTGTAACCATACGCTTGTTATAATACCATCTTTGTAACCATACGCTCGTTATAATACCATCTTTGTAACCATACGCTCGTTATAATACCATCTTTGTAACCATACGCTCGTTATAATACCATCTTTGTAACCATACGCTCGTTATAATACCATCTTTGTAACCATACGCTCGTTATAATACCATCTACCATTGACTGACTTGAACGATCATAGCTCTCAACAGCTTCCTTTGCTTTTAATATCTTTAAATTGTGAATTGCTATGACGGATCTTGAGAAACGTATAAGAGTAATTTTCTTGTTTTTCTTTCCTAGACTAGTTGCCCAAGGTTAAATACCCCAGTTAATTCTACAGAATGAGATGGATTCATATGTTTTCCGAGGGCATTAGTGCGTAGTAAATAGCCTAGCGTTTTCATTTTCCGCACAGTCAATCGTTTCATCACTCGCACATCTTCGTATTATACAATACTTACGATAAAAAAACAGCTATTTATACTGATTTACTGTTATCCTATTATTCAAAAACGTATGTTACTTTATTCTTTTTCAGACTGAAGAAAAGGAGGGTCTATACACGTGCACAAAGCACGGCAAAGATAAGAAACAGAATGGGACGATTGGTTCAATCGCGGCCCAGCGCGAAAAACACCCTCGCTCCCTCTACGACGTGGGCAGGGTACGACACCGGCGTTATACCAAGAGCGATATAGACACTACGGAAACTGCCGAAGTTGCCAACGAGGGCGAGGTCACGTGGCTCAGGGAGGAGGAAATAATTCCAGAAACACCCGCGCCGCAACCGGAAGTCTCGCGTAAATCTCCAGAATGTGAGAATAACAACCACTTCCCGCGTCAGTTGTCGGTGAAGACGCAGAACGAAAAGAACGTGGACTTTGAGTGCAAGCAGACTGATGAAAAATGGCCCTGTGCTGTCTACCAGGCACTGCTCTCTCGCAAAATTGTTGTCGCTGAGTGGCAAAGGATAGCCTGCGTCATAGATCGGTTTTTATTCTGGTTTTATTTCATTTCAACCATTGTAGCTTACGTCGTAATCCTTGTTATTATTCCAGGTCAGCGCCGAGACGCGCGTGAAGAAGCGAAGCGAGTGAGGCAAAACTCCATTTTCAACACGACTATTATATGAGAGACAAACCTGTGTATGACACGCGTATGACAACATTCGCCCTCATATACACATACATTAGAAAGAAACGCACATACATTGAATAGCAGATACAAAAATATAGTTACACAAAGATACAGGTGCACTGAAATACTTACAGAATTATGTATGTATATATTGCAAAGTCTATTTTAGTCATCATACTAAAAAAAGTTTATAATTAATAAATATTTAATATAATATCTTGTCTAGCATAATGCAATAGTTCATTCCTATAATCGGCAAAGAAGTTATTACGATTCGCTCGTCTAATAAAAGGTTTAATTTTTTTGTCAAAAGCGAGCAAATTCTTTACTATATTTTTAGAAGCATTGGGGTTTGAGATACGATTTATTTTGGGAAAGTAACACCAGAAATCCATTGGAAATAGTGCAATCAATAGGCATCTATATTTAAAATATACTAATCACAAAAGGAAAAATTAATATTGTTTAGAGTTTTAAAAATAAATGAAAGAAATATAAGACATCTGAAAAGTTTCCTGTGGATAGTAATATGAAAAATATATCGTGTGAGACGAGAAGAAATAAGAATGAACATAACACGGGTTTATATAAAGTAATGTTCCTGGCGGCTAATTTTTGATTTGTAACTCATTCATATATTATAAAATGGAGCTTTGTGTGTACAGCTCCTTTTAAAAAATAATGCAAACAATTGCGAAACAAATCACCAGCAAAATGCTTGAAAATAGGATTTTTAATGAATAGCACAGAGAAACGAAAAGCAAAATATGGATAACAAAATTTGACGATTTGAGATTCTTAACTAATAATAATAATAATAATAATAATAATAATAATAATAATAAGAAGAAGAAGAAGAAGAAGAAGAACTTTACTTTTGCAGTATTTTAATATGAGTTAAAAAAGGTGAGAAAAACTGAAAACTTTATTTTGTGTTAAATTAAACAGTTCTTTATTCTTTCTTATTGAAAATATGTTTCCTTTTAATACGAAATGTAACTTTTCATAGTAGTAGTGTTATAATAACATTGAATGAATTTTGAAATCAATCCAGTCGTAAATAATTGTCTTAATAACAATGATAGTCGAATCCTCTAAGAGAAGTCTCTTAATTCATATTTACATATTTACAATATTGAATCAGTTGTTTTTTTTTTTTTTTTTATGATAGTACGTTAATTTGAAGGAAATGAAAAACTGCGAATCTGATATTTTAAGACAAAGAACTTTTATCGTTTGCGTAATAATTAAAATTGTTTTACATGAACAAAACGGCAATGCATTCTTTGAAAATATTTTCGTTATTTCTGTGCTGATAAAGAAATACATAGCATTTAGCTGAGTGATTTGCTTCAAACAACAAACTTGAAATAAGGAGAAAGCAAAGGCAAAAGGTTTTTAAATAGAATGATTGAAAACAAAAGTGATTTTGAAGACTAAACATAATTTGAAACGGCGACTAATGCAAAAAGGATATACATATGCATAGAAGGAAGAAATAATAGAGAAAGATAAAAATGAAACTACTTTGACTGAAAGGAATTTACTTGGAGTAAAACTGTTCGTTTATCACTCGATTTTCTAAAAGCGGATATTTTTTTTATATTTATTGTAGCGATGCTTGTCTCAGCAACTCACTAGTATACATGAAAACAAACAAAGATATTTTTTTTTTTTATAAAATATCCTTTCCTTCTCTTTTTGGGTAGGAAGACGGTAAAATTCATGTTTAAAATGATATTTCCGGAGTTCAAGAAAGAAATCACTATATATATATATATATATATATATATATATATATATATATATATATATATATATATATATATATATAAAGTCATTAATTCAGAAAAACCTTCAGTATTAAAAAAAAAAAATATATTAATCAATTCAGCAATAAACTCTTGTTATTCGGCGACTTCTGATTTATTTCTACAATCATAGATAACAAAAGCAAATAACAAAAGCAAACATCAAAATAATGGGATTTGAACCAATGATTTAACTTTCGAAACTGAGTCTCAAATACATCTAAGACTCCCTCTTAACAATTTTTCAGTAGCATTATATCGTTTTGTTAATTTAAGTAATTCAGGCTTGACAATTTCCTGTAATTATTATCAGATTGAAATGCTTTAAGTGTTTTATATACTGGGAAATAATTTTGCCAGTCAGTGTAAGGTGTCTGGAAAAAATTGATAAACTACACAAAAAACGAAATTAATTTACATTGAAAATTTAAGGTACAATAAACAGACGAAAATTCCTGACAATTTTAAACGATGTGCACATCATCCGGTGACAGCCATCATGTATCCGATCGTAGTTTTAAATCCCTCCAATCGCAAACATATCACAAATTAGTTTTCACACACACACACACACACATATATATATAGACAGAGTTATATATATATATATATATATATATATATATATATATATATATATATATGTGTATATATGTGTGTGTGTGTGTGTGTGTGTGTGTGTGTGTGTGTGTGTGTGTGTGTGCACGCACGTGTATGTTATTATAATATCTCGTTACCAATCTGATCTTCAGGCTTCATATCTACCAATGTTTACGAGGTTGGATATGAAACTAATTAATAAATAATACCAATCTGTAAATGAAAAACAACACTATTGTTAACATATGTGTGTGCACGAGAATTCGCACACACACACACACACACACACACACACACACACATATATATATATATATATATATATATATATATATATAAGACTTATATTATAAATGTTACTCCGAAACGTATAATTGTAGAACGGAAAGCAGTTCTTAACTATTAACCGAGTATTATTTTTATTAACGTCCTGTATATTATCTGCAAGTATATCATTGGATGACATGAAGTCCATTCTTTAAATTTTATTTGGAAAAGATTTTATGAAATATGTTATTACAATTTGACCTAATTTTATCTTATTCTGTTGAACAAATATTGTTATATCTAAAACAAGCACAAAGAATGCTCATATGTGTGTACTCATGTGCGTGCGTGTGTAGTGTAGTGTGTGTGTGTGCATGCGCGCGCGTGTAGAGGGTGTTGCGTGTAGAAATGTGTTTGTGATCAAAAGAGAACCTATATGGAAATAAAAGAATAAAAGACAGGTAACAAATCTATCGATAGACATAAAAATGGGTTTAAGAATGAAAGAAGAAAGTGGGTGAAAATAATCAAAGTAAAATGTATTTTTTAAAGGAAATAACGAAGAATATTAATATAAAGTGTTAACCAGTTATAAGTTACACAAGTTACAGTAAAAACAGTTTGTTTTGCTTTTCTTAATTGTTCTTATTTTAAAACATTCCGTTGGCTGTTAAAACATTTCAGTTGGTTTTAATGCTATTGTTTTATACCAATTGTCACAATACATTGGACGCTTTCAATGGACTTTGATAAATTTAAACTTACACACACAAATATATGCAATTACACAAATACGGCGGGAAACTCAAGATTATCACAAGAGAAATGTTTTAAAATAATTTTTACAAGACAAAAAAATGGTGGCATATATTTTCTTAAATCTGTACACAAAGATTACTTAAATTAAACATACGCACTACACATGCCACACACACGCACACATGCCACACACACGCGCACACATGCCACACACACGCGCATACACACACACGCGCATACGCATACACACACACACGTCATTCATTCAACTGTTGCTGAATCAAGTGGCTTGACAAAACACACGCAGTTACGCGCCTGCCCCCCCACACACACACATATATATATATATATATATATATATATATATATATAAATATATATATATATATATATATATATATATAATAATAATTATACTATGTTAAAAAATAAATTAATCGCAACAAATAAAAAATGTTCATTTCCAAAACTAGGTAGAAAGAAAAGAGTCTTTAAAAAGTTTCAAGCTACCAACAAAATCCTTCTTTAGCTTATTATCTCTCAACTAGATATAAATTGTAAATAATACTCGAGAATTGCTTGCTGCGTGAAAACTTTTAGTTTACTGAAGACTATATAAAATCAATACAACACATGATTTATATCTAGTCATATTGATGCTAATAGGCATGTGCCTATATTGTAAACTTTCGGGTGAAACTTACATCGTTTTCTTTTATAACTACAGCAAAATATCGCCATATCGAACGCGCACACGCAACTCAATGTGTATATCAAAATATATGTAAATATATAAATGTGTACATGTATAAGTGCGAGGAATGCATGTTTGTGATATCGTTTATTTGGAAGTCCATATGTTGCGCATAGTTTTCTAAGTGGAAATCACAATGTTGATTATTGCAAGGATTTTATTTTATGAAAAGCTTTTTCAAAATATTTTAATAACTTCAAGAGTGAAATCACAATTGTTGTAATTAGTTGTATAAGATATAATACAATTTGGAATTAAGTATCTGATTTTGCTAATACAATTTATGAATACCTAATTACTAACAGATTTGATTACCCAAGCTGGCCGATGTAGAAGGAAGATGAAGTCTGATGGTAACTGTCATTTTATTATCATTGGAAGTCCTATTGAGAGCATGACTTGTACGATTCAAAAATGTCCATTCTTTTCTTCTTCTTCGGTTATTTTTCTTTTTAAGAATAAGTTATTCTCGGTATACATTATCTATTATTCATTTCGAGTACATTCAATTACGTACATTTTAAAATGCAAGCTTTTAACAGTGAAATCAAATCAAAGCAACCTTGATTGTGATACATGGTTATTAAAAATAAGATAATAATAAAATGGCTATAATAATAATAATAACAACAACAACAACAACAATAATAATAATAATGCTGAAGAAATGTTGAAATTCTTGACGAAACAATATATATAAAATGAAAAATATGTGAAATATGGAGAACAAACATGGATGTATAAAAATCTATTTTCCTATTTAATGCATGTTTAGTGAAGAAGATAGCAAACTGTGAGCTGGCA